TGGCCAGCCTGGGTCAGAGGCGCCAAGTCCGCACTGCAGTTCTTCGATGTCACCGACGAAGGCAAGAAGAGGGGATTCCTCCTGGCCTCCTGCGGCATCACGGTGGTGTCCCTGGCCGGATGACTACTTTCCCCCACAGACCTCGGTGACTGCACCTTCGAGCAGATTGTCAACGCGGTGCAGAACCACTTTGCACCCAAGCCCACCGAGCTGACCTGCAAGGTTACGTTCTATACCCGCAACCAACTGGCCAGAGAGACCGCCACAGAATTCCTTGCGGAGTTGCGCCAACTCGCCGCCGACTGCAACTTCGGGGCACATCTGGACGACGCGCTCCGTGACCACTTCGTCGTGGGTTTGCGGGAGGAGAAGCTCCGACAGAAGCTGATGGAGAAAGAGAAGGTCAACCTGAAGGAGGCCCTCGCTGTCGCTGTTGCGTGGGAAAGGTCTCATGCCGCCCCCACCGCAGCTCTCCAGGTCGATTCAGATGGGTCCGAGGAGCAGGACGTCCACCGGACCTACGGAGGGGCCCGGCAGTGCACACAAGCCCCCCAGCGCACCCCAGCGTCGACCTCAAGCGCCAGCTGCCAGAATCCCAGCGCGCCCGCATGTGCCAGCTGTGGGGAACTGCACGACCAGAGGACCTGCCGGTTCCCCGAGTCCCCCTCCGTGTTAGGTAGATTTCCCTCAATTCCGCTCATGATCTTGTCAGATTCGGAACGATAGGAAAAGGGAGTTCTAACAATATGTTGGATCCCCAAGCATCGAGAATAAATCCACGTTTTCAAGAAAAGCAAAATTTATTTCAAAGCGTTGAAGACATACTCAAACACGTTCTTTGTTAGAACTGGGGATACACAGTTAGGTCAAGCATAATAAAGGAACTTCAAACAGATACAGATCCAATGAATAGCTTTCCCGCTGGCGGGCTAATGAAACGGTTGCGCGCCCAGTCCATGGGAACCAGGCAGAACATCAGACAAAACACAGGTGCAGTAGTCCTGGGAAAATCAATAGGCAAGCATTACAGCATCTTCTCCCCCACACAACCTCCAGCAGTTATCTTTTGCATTCCAAAGCAGGAGCAGGATGATAGAAGCCAAGCCGGGTGTAACAGGGAAAGGATATGTACACAGAGGTCACAGAAAACAGAATGGCAGCTTGCTGACATACTGCCCCCCTTAAAATACACTTACAACACACCTCCCGGGCCGGGCGGGAGATCTCCCGGGCTGGGCGGGAGACCTCCCGGTTTGTCCGGGAACCTTCTGTGGAAACTACGGATCAGGTAAGGGGCCCGAATATCCCCTTCTTCCACCCATTCGCGGTGCTGGGGACCGAAATCAACCCATTCGATAAGGTACCAGAGTTTACCACGTTTCAATTTACAATCAAGGATATCAGCGATCTCAAAATGTTCATCCCCTTCCAAAATGACAGGTGGAGGAGGAGTAACTGCTGGTCTCCAGGGAGACGGGCCAGGATCCTTCTTCAACAGGCTCATGTGAAATACAGAATGCAAGGCACGTAAATTCTTAGGCAAAACAACATCAACCGCCACATCATTTATGACTTTACGCACTTTGAATGGACCTATGAACTTCCACCCCAATTTCCTGCTAGGCCGCAGCATCTTAATGTTCTTGGTCGAGACATACACAAGATCCCCAGGTTTCAGATCAAACCCCACCACCCTACCCTTGTCTGCCTGGGTCTTGTAAGCAGCCTTGGCTGCGTCAAGTGTTTGGCATAGCAGAGGCCATGCTTTTTGCAAGGACATACACCATGTATCAGCATCCCCCACAGGACGTTGGCCCATCCCCTCCAAGAAAGGGAGGGGGGGACTGTCGTAACCAGATACAGCTTTATAAGGAGACATGCCTGTGGAGCTATGGACCGTATTGTTATAACAATATTCAGCAAGAGGCAATAATTCACACCAATCATTCTGTTGATAATTAGTAAAACAACGCAGATATTGTTCCAGGGTCTGATTAACTCGTTCCGTTTGTCCGTCAGTTTCAGGATGATACGCGCTGCTGAGCCCTTGTTCCACCCCTAAAATGGAAAGAAGTTCCCTCCAAAACTTAGAAACAAATTGGGTCCCCCTGTCAGAAATTAATTTAGCAGGTAATTGATGAATTTTCACCACGTGAGACATAAACGATTTCGCCAACCTCTGAGCTGTAGGCAAGGAAGGAAAAGGCACAAAATGAGCTTGCTTAGAAAACAAATCAACAACCACCCAAATAACAGTGTTCCCTTTGCTCGCAGGGAGGTCAGTAATAAAGTCCATGGATACCACTTCCCACGGTCTCGATGGAGTAGGGAGTGGCTGCAGAAGACCAGGAGGCTTGCCCACTCTGGGTTTAGTCAAGGCACAGG